GTTTCGTGACCATGATGTTTGTGATTGGCTCTCGCACCCTGATCAAACCAAACCACCCGTCGGGTAACACCAGGTCTTTGAGTTTAGTTTAGTTCAGTTTAGTTTACTTTTTTATTTAGAGAAAATAAGATAAGACATGAGAGATGGAGAACAAACCCAAACATACAGTATATAATGCAAAGAAGTTCCACAGCTTTTCAATATATATGAGAAGAAATAAATAAGTAATAATAATATTATTATGTAACATGTAGTGTGTACAGATATACTATATACAGATTTCTTATGAAATTGATTGCTCTAGGGAGCAGGAGAATATTTTTTTTCTGCAGATGTGGTTAAAAAGTTTTATAAAGAAAATATTTTATATGTAGTTTAAATATAGTTTAGTTTAGTTACTACAGCAAAGATTCCCAATTGGTAAAAATACTCATTTTGTGAATCAAATGATTATTTGTATACTATAGTATTAATTAATATTTTTAATTAGCTTTTGTTTATGTTTTTATTATTTTTAAGTTTTCATTTTTGTTTGAGCTTTATTAATTTTGTTATGTGCTTTTATCATTTTTATTAGTTTTTAAAAAATACTAAAATATTATAAATATTTATATTTCATATTATATTCAAATATATTTCATTTTTAATATCTAAATATTTAGCTTTCATTTATTTTTTAGTTCAATTTCAGTAATTTTAGTATTTCAATTTATTTATATTAATTTGTTGACGATTTTTTATAGTTTTTATCTTTTATATGTAATCTTTTTCTTGAAGATTATAAAGTTTCAAAGACTTTTTTGCTTCAATTGAATATTTTAATTAGCTGGTTGGTTAAAGGCTTAACTAATTATTCAATACTTTTTTGGGAATTTGTTAAGAAGAAAATGGCAATGCATATATTTATTTGACACTGGACACTGTTTTGGCGGGAAATATTGTAACTTTTTTTTTTCGTAAAGGGAAGCCGAAGGGGACAGATCATTTATGGCGGAAGAAAGACAATAATTCACATGACTTGAAACTCCTCTCATTCATGTCTCTGACGTGTGGCGGCAGCTAGGCTAACGTGCTAGCTCAGCGCAGTGCTAATGGCCTCTGTCAGCTCCTGCCGTGGTGTCAGGACTCATATACACCCTGCCCAGCCGCAGCGCACACACACTCACACACACTCACTCGGGCACCGGGGGTGGCGTGGACGCGGGTGAAGATGCCAGGGGGTCAGTGTCAGAAACAGAGGTACAGACGCGGACGTAAATCAGAGTGGAGCTGAGTGAACTTTGACCTCTGTGGCCGGAGCCATGAAGTTTTCAGCAGCGCCTCGGGCGCAGGAAACTCCACTGCTAATGTGCCGTAATTAGGACACTGTTACCAAGGCAACGGGGAAAGGGAGAGTAATGATTGGGTGAAAAAGCTGCCAGTCGCGCTGATGGAATGTGTCACGCTTGCCTAATAACGGCAACATTACGGTGGAATATTAGCACTATTATAATATTTATTCGTGTTTTGAGTTAGCTTTAATTTAAAATTTTCAGTTTTCATTTTAGTTTGTGTCAGTAATTTTGTTCTGTGTTTGTCATTTTTATTATTATTTCTTTTTAACTGTATTTTTATTTCTGTTTTACTTTTAGTAATTTTATCCATCCATCCATCCATCCATCCATCCATCCATCCATCCATCCATCCATCCATCCATACATTTATCCATCCATCCATCCATCCATCCATTTATCCATCCATTTATCCATCCGTCTATCCATCCATCCGTCTATCTATCCATCCATCCATCCATCCATCCATCCATTTATCCATTTATCCATCCGTCTATCCATCCATCCATCCATCCATCCATCCATCCATCCATCCATCCATTTATCCATCCATCCATTTATCCATCCATCCATTTATCCATCCATCCATTTATCCATCCATCCATCCGTCCATCCATCCATCCATCCATCCATCCATCCATTTATCCATCAGTCCATCCATCCATCCATTTATCCATCAGTCCATCCATCCATCCATCCATCCATCCAATTATCCATCCAATTATCCATCCATTTATCCATCCATCCATTTATCCATCAGTCCATCCATCCATCCATTTATCCATCAGTCCATCCATCCATCCATTTATCCATCAGTCCATCCATCCATCCATTTATCCATCAGTCCATCCATCCATCCATCCATCCATCCATCCATCCAATTATCCATCCATTTATCCATCCGTCCATCCATCCATCCATCCATCCATTTATCCATCCGTCCATCCATCCATCCATCCATCCATCCATTTATCCATCCGTCCATCCATCCATCCATCCATCCATCCATCCATCCATCCATCCATCCATCCATCCATCCATTTATCCTTCAGTCCATCCATCCATCCATCCATCCAATTTTCCATCCATTTATCCATCCGTCTATCCATCCATCCATCCAATTATCCATCAGTCCATTCATACATCCATCGATCTATCCAGTCACAATGCAAAAAATATATTTACTTAATTATTTCCTGGACATTCCCATTCTGGTCATAATACACGTGATGTACACAGACAGACGACAAATAACATGTCTGAGAACTTGATTTAATAATAATTTAATATTTTTTAACAATATTTATATCACATTCATTATTTTATTTAATTATTTTTATTTTATGCTCATTGTCCATAATACATGTGATGCAAATGTGGGTAGCTGACAAAAAATATCCACGAGCATTTATTTATTTACTACTTTATTTATTTAATTTTTATTCACTCACATCCACATTCCCATTTTGTTCAGAATCACTCGTGATGCACACGGATACTCGACAGAAAACGTACATTTATTTAATTTTTATTTGTATGTTGATATCTAAAAAAATATATATATTTAAAAAATATAATAATAATAGTTTATTCAACATCAACATTTTAGGTTAAAATGCGAAAGAATGTAGTAGGAGTGAATATTTCAGGTTCTGTAACTGGCCACCATTACTTTTAAGTTTCTCACCTCTACTAATCAGTCTTTTGATTGGTTAATTTCATCCTGCATGAACAACTATCAGAACAATACATACAAAAATACTTTTTAATGTTGTTAAAGTAGTTTATCCATGCGAGTAAACATCAGTGGCTGATTGTCGAATATATTAAATGCTTTGAATATGCATTTATATATATTCAAATTTATTTATTAGGATAAACCCCTTGAGATGCACCATCTCGTTTTCGAGGGGGTCCTAAAATACATCACAACCATCAACAAAAGAACAATAATAAAATAACCAAAAATACAATTATACATTTGTCAATATACAGACAGACAACAAACAAACACAACACACAAAGAACCACAAATACAGAGCAACAACAACAACACAAATAATATATAATATGTTGATTATAGTCTTCAGTACTGCATGTAAATAAGATATTGTGCCGTGAGATCACACTGATTTTGGTCTGTTATTTCAGAGACGATGATGACATCAATGATGTGGCGTCTATGGCCGGCGTGAACCTCAACGAAGAGAGCGCTCGTATTCTAGCGACCAACTCTGAGCTGGTGGGAACGCAGATCCGCTCCTGTAAAGACGAGGCGTTCCTGCCGACGGGTCTGTTACACCGGCGGATACTGGAAACAGGTAGAGTATCACATGTTCACACCGCTAGATATATGTTTAGAAGAGTCTCACAAACCCGTCTCATTGTTCCGGGATGATATGGGGTTAAAACGCCTGGAGCTTGTAAACGTTCTCTGTTCTTGTAAATGTAGGCCAGTCCACGCTCGCTTTGGGCCACCAGGAGTGTGTGTCCTTATTGTTCCACCAAACTCTTGCTAAATCTGAATTTTTATTGTTGTCACCAGTAGAAACACGTTTTTATTAGTGCTGGGCAACGATTAATCACATCCAAAATAAAAGTTTGTGTTTACATAATTTGTGTGTGTGTACTGTGTATAATTATTTTGTATATATAAATACACACACTCATGCATGTATACATTTGAGAAATATTTGCATGTATATACTGTATATATATTTATATTATATATATAATTACACACACTCATGCATGTATACATTTGATAAATATTTGCATGTATATACTGTATATATATTAATATTATATATATAATTACACACATTTCATGCATGTATACATTTGAGAAATATTTGCATGTATATACTGTATATATATTTTTATTATATATATATATATATATATATATATATATATATATATATAAATACACACACTCATGCATGTATACATTTGAGAAATATTTGCATGTATATATATTTATATTATATATATATATATATATATATATATAAATACACACTCATGCATGTATACATTGACATATTTGCATGTATATACTGTATATATATTTATATTATATATAAATATAAATTTTGTATTTTTATATATATATATATAACACATTTTTCTTAAATATAAACATGCATGTGTGTGTATATATACAAAATAATTATACACAGTGAGTACACACACATATATTATGTAAACACAAACTTTTATTTTGGATGTGATTTATCGTTGCCCAGCACTAGTTTTTACATTTGTGGTTTTGCATCTTTTCAACTGGATCCGGGACTGTTTTCACATGGTTAAAGAGGTCATAACATGGAAAAGTGGTTCGATTACCATGGAAAAATGTGCGACTCATCCTTCTGTGTTTGTGTAAATAAATAAGAAAAAGAGCAGCTCGTTCATTGCAAGAGCCACTTGTGATGAAAGCTGAATGTTTGTCTGCCTAGATTTGCATCGTATCCGCATTTCTGTCAACATGTTTATTTAACCTGGAACATTCCTCAGCATAAGCTGGAATATATAGTTTTATAGTTTTTTAAGAAAGAAAGTAATACTTTTAGTCATCAAGAATGCATTAAATTGGTCAAAAGTGTGTAAAGACATTTATATAATGCTTAAAAAAATCAAATAAATGCTGTTCTTTTCATCAGGGGACAAAAATATGAAGTTGTTTTCAACATTGATAATAATCATAAATGTCTCTTGAGCATCAAATCATCATATTAGAGTGATTTCTGAAGGATCATGTGACACTGAAGACTGGAGTAATGATGCTGAAAATACAGCTTTGATCACAGGAATAAACTCAAATAGAAAACAGTGATTTGAATTTGTAATAATATTTCACATTTTTTTCTGTATTTTTGATCAAATCAATGCAATTTTTGATCAAATGCAGCCTTTTTGTATGGTACTGAATGTGTAGAAAACGAGGTTTCCAGTTCATTCTTAAATCGAGCGATAGACGTTTGGGTGAATTGCTCCCAAACACGTCATTTAAAACAACCTCATTCATTCAATGTGATTCTCCTTGTGCGATTTGCTTTGTATAGTTTACAAATGCTACAGCATCTCAGAAGAGTCAAGCTAATTTACTGCTAAACGAAGTACGATTTCTCTCACAAATTGCACCATTTTCAGACTAGAATCTAAGGACGTAGAAAGTTCTTTCCTCACAAACAAGTTTAAACTAGCACTTGTTCTCTCACCCTCGTGTTCGCTACACATTAGATCTCTCGGTTAAGCGTCAGAAGCCCTGGGGTTTCTGTTTTACCGCGCGTTAGCGTTGGCATCGAGCTGTCGCTGGGAGAAGCGTGTAATTCTTCTCAAAGGTGCAGGAGTGTGTGTAGGAGGACGAAGCGCCCCCTGCTGGGCCGGGCCGGGCCGGTGTGTGTCGATGATGGGCTGCTGGAGAACTCTTAGGTGACAGCAAACCAAGGGAGGCACAAATCCTGCCAGCTCGGCTCAATCTGAGAGAAATGCACACACACAACCCAACAAACCTCAATGCACACAAACACCCTTGTACACAAAGATCTTTCCTACACAGTTATCATGTCTTTTACCTTTACTTAACATCAAATGCATGCTTTGTGTGTGCATCCCTGCTCAATCAGTAGAGCATGATACTTGCAACACCAAGGTCATGGGTTTTCAATTGGCCGGGAATGCATGGACTAATAAAAATCATACCTAGAATGCATTGCAAGTCGCTTTGAATAAAAGCATCTGCCAAATGCATCAATGTAAATATAGTTCATGCATATCACCTTGAGATCTGTCTGTGCAGATCTCTGGTTCCAGGTGTCTCATGTAACCCGCATCAGATCACAGTAATTGCGCTGACTGAAGCTTGTCTCCTCTGATAGATTGTTTATAGGGGACGAGGAGGAAAAGTTGACGCTTCTAAGTCTAATTTTAAAACACAGGTAAACCTGCATTAAGAGATTTGCCAAAGATTTTATCCTCTGCAAAACCAGCTTGTTATTTTTTCCCCCCCCGGACCAAATAGAAATTCCTCAGTTCATCTAAAATCTTGTGTTTTTTAAAAGAGCCGTATAGCCTTAAGAAACTCCTCATGTTTTGACATTCCTAAGATTTCTTTTTTACTTGTTCCCTTGTAAGATCTCGTTCGGAGTCATTAAGGACAGTCTCGGCACGTTTAGCGGCCGATTTAAATAATTGGTGTGGTTTTCTTAAAATAATAGTGGAAGGAGAACTTATGTTAATAGCAAATTAAAGACGGGGATGTTGTAGATAGAAGTGCTGTAAAGGTTTGCAGCGTTCTTTTAAAACTCCAGCGCTTATTATCCTTTAAAGTAAAAGTTGTCAACTCACGTGAAAGAGCTGTTTTTCTTTTCCTATGATCTCTTTTTCATAGGAAAGAAAAATTGAAATTGAAAAGTCGATTTAAATGTTTCTCCTCAGTATGAAATAGAGACATTTGCTCTTGTTTCTCAGATGCTTCTCATTATAAAACGACACTCGTAATCGCTTATTTTTCTCAAAAATTTCACAGACTGTGCTCAGATTTGCCAAGATCCCAATTAAGATCTCAATAGATTCGTCCAATATCAAATTATCTGTGCTGCTATTTTACAGCTCTATATATTTAGTGTATGACAATTTGTGTCTGTGTAAGAAATTTTAGGAGAAAAAGTCAAAGTTGCTTGTTTAAGTCTTCTGGGTGGTTGGATCAGGTTTGCCGACCTTCCAAACCACAGAGGCTCATCCACACTCATTTTTCTGAAATTTTAGGAAATCAGGTTTGAAGATGAGCCTCAGAAGCTGTAAACCTACCTCAGCATATTTGTGTTTTAAGCGCAGGTCGTGTCAGTTCACCATAACAAACCTTTATTTTCTCAACACACATTGGACCTTTTTTGTGGAGGATTTATAAGATAGGACAGATGTAATTTTCTCTCGTTGGACTTCCTTCCAAACATCTGTGCGGTGATGTGTTTTGTTTGATTATTGATATTTTCTTGTTTCAGCTAAGAAGTTTGGAGTGACGGACGTACCGCTGGAGGCTGTGAGCTTCATCTCTCACGCCACCCAGTCCAGATTACGAACGGTGCTGGAGAAAGTTTCCTCCATCGCCCAGAACAGAATGGACTCTTGTAAGGTACGAGACGGGATCAGTGTGCAAGAGAGGCTTTTATTTATACATGTATTCTGTTGCTGTAAATAGTTTTCCTACAAATGACACAAACATTATTTTAGTGTCACAAACACACATTGTTTCATTCATCTGCTCACAGCTAAAACTAATACAAACATTAACATAACATAATTAGCTGTTCAACACTTAAAATATCTGGAGAGAAACAATGATTTATTTAGAATTACTAACATTAGTCATGCATTGGGTATTTATTCGTCTGTTTGCTTGTGAATGCAATGCCCTAACAACCACTGGAACACACTAGCAGCTCCCTAGTGATGCCTTAGCTACGCCCTAGCAACCACCTTCTTGAATACACTAGTAACCACATAGCAACACCTAAGCAACCACACAGAATTCCATATAAACCATCTTGAATACACTAGCAACCACATAGCAACACCTAAGCAAACACCCAGAATGCCCAATAAAGCACCTTAAACACTCTAGAAACCACCCAGCAATGCCCTAACAACCACTGGAACACTTTATCAGCTCCCTAGTGATGCTCTAGCAACGCCCTAGCAACCACCTTAAATACACTAGTGACCACATTGTAACACCTAAGCAACCACACAGAATGCCATATAAACCATCTTAAACACTCTAGAAACCACATAGCAATGCCCTAACAACCACTGGAACACTCTAGCAGCTCCCTAGTGATGCCCTAGCGACACCCTACCTTGAATACACTAGCAACCACATAGCAACACCTAAGCAACCACACAGCATGTCCAATAAAGCATCTTGAACACTCTAGAAACCACCCAGCAATGCCCTAACAACCACTGGAACACACTAGCAGCTCCCTAGTGATGCCTTAGCAACGCCCTAGCAACCACCTTGAATACACTAGCAACCACATGGTAACACCTAAGCAACCACACAGAATGCCATATAAAGCATCTTTAACACTCTAGAAACCACATAGCAATGCCCCTAACAAACACTGGACACTTTATCAGCTCCCTAGTGATGCCCTAGCAACGCCTTAGCAACCACCTTGAATACACTAGCAACCACATAGCAACACCTAAGCAACCACACAGCATGTCCAATAAAGCATCTTGAACACTCTAGAAACCAGCCAGCAATGCCCTAACAACCACTGGAACACACTAGCAGCTCCCTAGTGATGCCTTAGCAACGCCCTAGCAACCACCTTGAATACACTAGCAACCACATGGTAACACCTAAGCAACCACACAGAATGCCATATAAAGCATCTTTAACACTCTAGAAACCACATAGCAATGCCCCTAACAAACACTGGACACTTTATCAGCTCCCTAGTGATGCCCTAGCAACGCCTTAGCAACCACCTTGAATACACTAGCAATGCCCTAACATATGTGAATAAAAGCCTAAATTAAATCTGTTCATCAAATAAAGCGATCGAGTCTCTTTAGAAAATTTACACTAAAAAATTCATATTGATTAGTTTTACGATCTCTTTATAAACTTTATGAAGCGTCAAAGTGGTAGTTGCGTAGACTGTCAATGGAGGGACAGAAAGCTCTCCATTTTAAATAAAAAGATCTTTATTTGTGTTCTGAAGATGAATGAAACGGGTTTGGAACGACATGAGGGTGAATAATTAATGACAGAATTTTTATTTTTAGGTGAACAAACCCATTTGACACACAATCATATTGTAAAGTGTTGCTGAAATACTGCTGTGAAAGTGGAAACTTTTGGGCACAGAAATGACAAAGAGACGGAAGCATCCAGGTAAACAATTCAATATTCAGACCCACAGCCAGAGAGTCCAACTCACGCTTTAACCGCACAGTCGAGACGTCGCATCAACGGGAGCCCAAGACGAACAAAACAAACCCACAAACGAGGAAAAAACAGCTTTAAAAGCTGTTTATTTGTGTACATGGCGAGTAGTTCAGCGGAGAGGAGCGCTGTCACGGACGACGCACGATTTGTTGTTTTGTTTTTCTGTTTGGTGTGTGTTGTGGCTTTTTGTTTTGTTGGTTTGCGTCTGCCGCCGCTTTATAAATGAGCCGTGTGCAGCCGTGTGAAGACACTGTTGACATCAGCGAAACACAAGATCGTCCTGACTTCATAGCCAACAAAGGACAGGAGAGATGGAGCCAGGGATGAGAGGAGAGACGAGCTCGTCAGAAAATGAAAAGAAGCAGGAAGTGCATAAAACAATCGAGGTCGCATTCTGAAGTAAACATGTTTTTTGCGTTAGCCCCTTAAACTTCCGTCTCACCTGGTTTTCATCACCATTGAGTCATAATAAACACTCATTAATAAGTTAAAATGTGTTTACGAGTATGAGAAGTGTTGAGCTCTTTCTCTGTGTGTCTTCAGGAAGGCGAGGGGTACGAGCAGTCGTCTGATGTGCGCTCGCAGCTCAGGTTTTTTGAGCAGCTGGAACGGATGGAGAAGCAGAGGAAAGATGAGCGAGAGCGAGAGATTCTCCTCCGCGCGGCGAAGGTAATCTCTCAGATCCTCTCCTGGCGAACGCTAATGACGGAGAAGCGCAAACTGGACTAATAAACCAGTCAGATCGCACACCATCTTTTTCTTTTCACATACATATATTGTGTATGTGTAGTATATGTATGTGAAATGAACTTTTGAATATATGATTATAGATTTATTATCTCTGTAGATTTATTATTTTGTAGACATTTCCTTAACCCTCAGGTGCTCTTTGGTCATTTCTGAGCGAAAGAAATTCTGTTTTGAAATTTAAAAAATCACAGCTTCATCGGAATGTTACGAAACTTGCTGACTTTTATGGCATTGGGTATGTGAACACACAAAAAAAAATTGAGGTCATGATCCGAGCAGTTTAAGTGGTCGTAAAAAAAATAGTCACACTTGTGCTCTTCGGTAAAAAATGGCACTAATCTGACTTCAAAAATTGGATTTAAAAGGCCAGGTCTCTATATTAATCTGAAATACTGCAATAATTGAAGAAATATTTTTATAAAAAAATAAAAAAAATAAAAATTGTATTATTTTCAATGGCAAAAATGGACCATAAATATTGCATAAATATTAATAAGTAAACATCAAATTGTCTCAAAATACAAAATTAAAAAGAAAAAATATTATTGAACAAAAATAAATTGCATTGGTTTTACTGGGATGGAGAAAGTTTCATTTTTAGGTGTCCGGTCACTTCTGACCGGGAAGATAACAAGTGTGACTTTCGAAACGAAGAGCACCTGAGGGTTAAATAAATATAGTTTAATAAGTTTTACTTCTTCCTACTCCTTTTTGTACATGTAAATAGATTTTTTTTTAAGTACTGGAAAGTATGGAGTTTTATCTGTTTTTTTTACAATTTGTTTTTCCTCTGGTTTCTTTTTTAATTGTATTTACATGTTCAAAATAAAGATATCAATCAATCAATCAATCAATCAATCAATCAATCAATCAATCACACGCTTATTAGTTTTAAAACTGATTACATCGTAAGAAAACCATATTCGCTTGTGTCAGTTCTATATAAAACACCAATCAATATGATTTTTGAGTATCATTCCTGATATTTAGCATTAAATCAAGTTAATTTGCCATTATCAGATGCTTGAATTTTGCAATAAATGATCTGCAGGAAAGCAGAGGGATTCACTTTCGTTCCGGTAGAGAACGTTTCTTCTGTTTTGGGTCATAAAAAAAGTCGGAAATTAATTTGGGATTTTCATTGCTTGAAAATCTTGATATAAATAGACCTTTATAAAATTAAAACCATAAAAAACATTTTTGATTTGATTTATGACAAACTTATTTGATTTCATCTAGTTTCCAAAGCAACATTTCTCATTTTCATTTAGTTTAACTTGATGTACTGAAATAACTCAAAAATAAAAATGACAAAAAACCACACAAAAATTCAAATCACAGAACTAATATCTGTGAAAAAAACTTTTTTGCATCATTGCATTCATTTTTGCCAGTTTGCAGATATCAAGTTACAATAATGAAATTATGCAATTTACACAAGAATGTTTTTATTTACACAGAAACAGTATATCTGGTGTGCATGCAGTGAAAGAGCTCATCATGCTGTGACTGATCAGATCTCATCCCACAACTTGTCTGAGGATGTTTGAAGAAAGTTTATATCTGAGAGTGTGCGTCTGATCCTGGAAGCCCCTGATAACCCCAGACGACGGAGTTTCCAATTAAAGATGCGATTGCGTTCCCATTTCCCGTCGCCCGCGGCACCGCAGTGAAATAGTTGGGCTCGTTCCCATCATTAATTCATTTAGCTCAGAGACGATGACCCGCCGCAAAGACCCCCTCGCCTCCCTTCGGCCTAATGATGTTATTATGCCGGAGCTAGATTATATTTCCGCTGGCCGGCCAAAACGACACAGTTTAGCTCAGATGTGAGTGTGAATGGCCACGCCGACCTCTGCGACTTTGTTTCGGGACGGGACGTTATGCAAGCTGAAGTGTCACGGTTGTGAGGAATTTGAACTCCGCTGAAGCTTAAAATGCGATCAGGGAAACATGGTGTGTGTTCTCAACTCAAACGCATCGTAAACGTGTCGTCTGTAGCAAATCATTGCCACTGTAGTCTGGAAACAATGAACGAATCAGTCCCATTCGTTAACATTAGTTTATTACAACAGTGACACTATTAGAAGAAAAGGTTCCATTTAGAACCTTAAAGGGTTCCATCAGGAATGCATATATAGAACCTTTTACCGGTTCCATTATGGGGTCATTATATGGATTTAGTGTTAATTGTGATTAAACAGTTTATAAACACACTTCATCACTAGAAAAAATGAAATAACCCATTAAACATGAGAGTATTATGCAATTATTTAAGACATATAACATTATTTAAGCGTTCCTTAAAATTGAGTCATGAACTCTATATAGAGTGTAACATGAACTAACAATGAACAATACTTCTACAGCAGTTAGTAATCTTACTTTATCTTAATTTAAAATCAAAAGTTGTAACTGTTAATTCACTGTGAACTGTTTTTCTATTAACTAAC